CTTACAATAACGAAATAATTTTCGTCCGCGAATATGAATGCGTCGACGTAAATTGAAGTTAAGTTATAATACATGAATGGAAAATGTAGAACAGGAACGGGTGATATTTCAGTCTTTGTATGCATTTCAATAGGTTCCGATTTCTATTTTTAATCGTTGAAGTTTCTGCCTCCGTTATTCCGTACCGAGATTCTACTTGTCGCTCGAAAAATTTACTAAAATTGTTGAACCATTAATCGACGTAGTAATGTTGACATTTATATTATCGCGTAAAAAGTGAAATTCCGAATCGGGTGACGTTGAATATTAAAATAAAGTGTCATGTATTTAAGCGTAGTAATTAAACGTACACAATGTACCGTAATAAAATTTCCTTGCTGTTCTGTATACGGAATATTGCGAGCGGCGAAGTGACGAGTAAATTGTAGGACGCGCCATGCAAATGTAACGCTGCCGATTGGAATACACGTCGTGCATCACGGCAAAACGTATAGAAAGATTTTGACGCCTGTTACAAAATTATCCGAATGCATTGAATGACAATTAATATGGCAAAAATTGCACGAGTTTGTAAAAAAAAAGGGAAACATACGTAGTTACGTGGCCGGCAGTCGGTGCATTCATTATGTACATTTGATGTTTGCGTAATTGCCTTTGCTTTATTATTCCGTGGAGTATCGTATTTCGATTACTCCTGCTAACACGATTTTCAACAATCACTGCAGCTATTTCGTACTCGAAATTTTCGCAGGGACTCCTACCTGCGTATCACTTCGCTGAATAACGAGTATCATTAATATTCATTTTGATGTTCTTTTGGCTGCTCTGTAACAATAAACGCGAAACATTATCCAGTTAGCTCGCGCGTGCAATCTTTTTGGAAATTGATGCAACAAAAGAAGGGAATTATAATAATGATAAACGATAATAATGACAAGAAGAAGTCTTTTTTTTCGCGAAAAATTACCAAATAAATCTTTCTTTTCTTGTTTTTTTTTTCAAACGGTAATTAGCAACGCACTGTTACCGTAACAGGTATTCCCTGAAGAAATTATGATTTTATTATTTAAAGTAGACGTTGCAGAGACTAGTGACTTTATGCATTTATGCTAAACGTTTACCGAGAGAGAATCGAGGAGGTAGAAATTTGTTCCCGCGCGAACAGCAAGAAACCCTTAATGCTGAAACTCACAAACAATTTTCGCGTTTGCCACGAAGAAGCGGTGGTGAATTTCGGAAGTTGGGTGTGTGGGAATCTCAAGGCAGATCAATGTCGGATAAAAACAGCGGATCACAGAAACGTGGCGAACTCGTGGGTTAGCGGAGAGCTCATAAATAAAAGATATTGCCAGCCAAGACAGAAAGAGAAGAGAGAGAGAGAGAGAGAGAGAGAGAGAGAGAGAGAGTGAGAGAGGGGGTGGACAATTATTCTCGCATAGAACGACGTGCTTCTTGTGTCATCGAATACATTACACCCAGTGTGCATTACACGATGTACGTTTGCACTTTGCGAGAGATTCCACTTAACTCGGGGCCGCGCGAGAGACTGTCTTTTTTTCATTGTCAACAAAAACATACCGCGCGAGTTGACTCGAGGAGGAGACGATACTACCGAACGAGTGCATATTGCGCCAGGAATTATTCTATGCAAATCATATTATTCCCGCCTCACCGCATTACAACCGACTGTAATGTATTCCAGAGGGGGATTTATGCGGCTTTGCCGAATAATACCTGACTTAACACATTACTACGGGGAGTTGGGCGCGACAATAAGAGACTCAGCGAGAGGGATGAGCGCGCAATCAGTTGTTCTTAGTGTTCAAGCCATGCATGATCTAAAGCTCGCGGATGAGACGATACGATTATTGTTACATCAGTAAAAAGCAATTGCACCGTAGATAATAAATTCTGTAAGTCTTTATGAAAAGAACAACATTTTGAATTATCTAAATAAATAAATATCTGAAAAATAATTATGTTAAATCATCAAAGTAATTAAGAACACTTAAACGTTGATAACAATGCTGTAAATGGTTTTGATACTCTAGCAATCAGTTTGAGTGTTCTATATTTTGATGTCCAACAAAATTATTTTTATATTTATAACTAGCTAAATTTTGTAATACTTCCGTATAGAATTATTAGTGCCATTTATGTTGAATGTATGTATCTCGAGTTCAACTTTATTTATTTATTTCAGTATATCGTAAAAAGAGAAAACTTATGTATGGAAGAGTCGTATATAACAGAGTGATACAAAGGCAAATGTAAATTCATAGCAGATGACAGATGAAACTGCGCAATACGCGCTAACTAGATTAATCGGCTGACGTATAATCTTCTTTATAGCTCGAGGAGCTTAACGATCTGCTGTGTATTCGATAATGGCGATACCGATGCCATTAAAAGACGCTTGTCTGATGGCGATCGGCTCTCGGTTGGCCGTGAATTTGCATAAAATGATTGGAAATCTCTGGGAGACGAGATAAAAAGAATGCTCGTTACTCAGTCAGCGACTTATCGTACACGATGTCAAATTTCTTCCGTCAGCCTAATGTACGGTCCTCGCCGCTGGCGGAAGGACGTCGCCGTTTCTAGAACAACGACCGGATGGGAATAAAAATTGGATGCAATCTCATTCTCTCTCTCTTCCTCCTCCCTCGTGTATCTGCGAAAACAGGTAATTACTCTAAGTTTATACTCAATTTCTCGCAAGTAAGAACGACGCGAGATTACGTCCCAGGTTCGCGCTTCATGCGATATTGTAAACACGCTGATACTTCACCGGGAGTTAACGTCGCGGACACGTATTGCCGTACTGACAATAAATTACAACGTAGATTAGAATAGTTAATGCCAGCGCCGTTCGAACGCGACGTTACCTAGTAAATCTTGCAATAGCGTTGCACAACAGGACTAAATTTGGGGGAGGGAAACATATCAGGATGAAAGCCGTGTCTAACGTTATTCATTAACAATATATCATAATCAAAACGGAGAAAATACGGTCAATCCGAAATATCCTCGTGAGTATAGAGAATATTTCACGTCGAGAATAACACATCTGTCACTTCGAAGTGCGAATGAGAGGATCTAAATAAAAAAAATGTGAGATTTTTTTTATCGCAAGGGCGAGCCACGAAACGAGTGAAAAATTATACGTGTCCAAAATGGGGAGCGTTTCCACCAACATAAACTATTTTTCTCACTGCGTTTTTCTGTGTTCTACTGTTATCTCCGTTCCATCCCCTTTGTCACGGACACTCAGACGATGTAGCCTCCATTTTCTGAGTGGCATCTCAAAGTTCCGGCGGGCGAGCCTGGATTTGCCCAGGACTGATGTCGACCGCGCGCACAAAGTCTTAACCTGAGCCTGCCGAGACAGTCAATTATCGGCGGGTGCTGAAATCAGGGTAAATGCTGGGGTGCGAGAGGGATGAGAGAGTGGCGATGCCGTGATCTCGCGCGCGAAGGACGATGGATGCTTTCCTCGACGGTGGTGGCGGTTTACCAGTTGAAGGCGCCAGGACCAGGACCGGAATTTTCGAACAAAAGAGCAGCGGTTCTGATTTAGTGGCGCGCATAATTTCGTCCTGGTCATAAATTAATATTTCCCAACTCGCTTTGTCCATTCGTCGACCTGCCTGCGGCCGCGAAAGAAAAGGATCTCGTGATGAATGAAAATCCTTTTACACAAATTCCTATATATATTTTTTTTAATATTAATCTTGATATATACATCACTCTTTTACTCGAAACTTGAAAGGTGACACAATTGAAAAAACGTAATTTTCAAATTATTACTATGAATTAGTTGAATAAGTATCTCGTCATATCAATCATCGAAAGTGAAACCAACTTAACTTTATTAAAGATTTTTACGTTGTAAAAAATATTCGTAAAATCGTCATAATTCGAAAAGGATGGTTTTTAAGGATTGTGAAATAAAAATGACAAAAATGACATTTGATTATATTTTTTTTAATATATTCTTTTTACTGCGATATTATTTGATTAATCGATAATTTTCTATCGAGTTGAAAAATAAATTTCTGCGAAACTTAATTCTTTTGAGTTTTGTCACTTGAAGTAAGAAAGTAATATATACCTATATAATAAATATACGGGGATAGAATTACATAAATATATATAATTTTGACAATTTGAAATTTAGTATTTACGACAAATTTCATTCTATATCTCGCGCGAATGTAAAATTTGCTGTGCTGTTTATTAGCATATAAATTATACGAAAATATGTTGGTTATCGTTATAATATTAATTGAATATTATGAATCGATTGATAATGTGTATAAAAGTTGAAATGCAATGTAATTTTACATTTTAATCATGAAAAACATCTTTGTTGATTTATTTTTAGTACACACAAAATATTAGTTTAAATATCACTCGCAAAACGCAAATAAATAGATAAATGGATTCATATATAATTATAAATGAATTATATGAAGTTTAATGTTTTTTTTTTGCGTTTATAATAATGTTCCAATATCTTGTTGGATTTTATCAAATTTTGTATCATTTAAATGAATCTGAATATTTGCATATTTAACATGAATTTATCATGAAATAGACATTTTTTCGACAGAAACGTGAATGAAACGAGTGTCATTTTTTTGGTGGATTATTTTCTTCTTTCTCCATTTTCTTCTTGGCAGATTTTCGATATTATAATCGCGTACGAATCCTTATGAATTATAACTAAAGCATCGAGATCAAAACGAATATCTTTTTTATGTCGATTCTGTCCTCGATGAGAGAATTTCATTTATGATTACGTTTCAATGATTACGCTGCTTAAATGATTAGCAAATGAGAATAATTTCCATAATAATCAACGCTAATTTATAACGTTTATAATACAGGAAACCACTCGGATTATCGAATAATTATCATTTATTTAGCATTGCTGAATAATAGTGGCTATTATTTTATTCCTTTTGTGTTTATTAACATTTTCCATATTTTTGTTACAGGTTTTTTGCGTCGTGTTAGAGAGAGACTGCACAAATTCTAAGGTAAGACTTTATAAAATCAAATCTATGAAAACTTAATATACGTTCAATTTATTTATTTGAACGAGATCAAGTCACGTGTGTATACAGAAAAAAAATTATTATAGTCCCGCGAAAATATCAAATGGAAAAATGGAAATCGAAAATTTATGGCGAAACTGCATCTCTGGATGATGCATAGGAAACGCAAAGCTCTATGAACGTTAAAATTAAACAGTCCGCTAACAGCTTCGGAGCGTTTCCATCAATTTAGGCTCAACCCTTTTTTCTATTCAAAACGAACGTCGTTGCAAGCTTGGCTTTACTCGCGGAAATTTAAATGTATGTCGGCGGATGTACGCAGATGTATGTTTCTGCGTGTACACGAAGCTTATCTATGGATTAAGGCTTGAGCCGCAAATAGGAAAAAATGGCATCGATCGACTATTCGGTCGATGCTGCCGTTCGTGAATTAAACGACTTCGATTCGTTGCGAGCACGGTAAAAGCGCGGGATAATTAATCACTCGAAAATTCGCGATTTGCAATCAGCGAGTGTTCCACAATGATTATCAAAAAGGCATTAATAATAATAGTAATTACGATTTTATGAGCAGTTACGATTTTATGAGAATAATAATAAGTATTACGTGGCAATCATTCGCTTTCAGCAAAAATATAGTTGTGTTGTAAAAATGAAATGAAAAGCTGAATATCTGAAGCTTCTATTTCGGAATTTAATAATGTGGAAAATTGCGTCTGTACATGTAAAATGCGGCAAATTTATAATAACGATTGCTATATGCACATGGCACAAATTATGAAAGAATTTTGCCAGTCGGCGATCGTTTTGTTGTTACATTATTTGTTCAACACATTTATATCGGGAAAAATGCTGAACGAGAGTAAACGCGATTTTCTAAACTCTGATCCGCATATCTTTTTTTTATGCCGGGACGTCGATGTGTGTATTTCATGCGACCGTTGTAAATAACTATCGCGCAACACAAAAAGTTTAGTTTTATACAACCCCGGAAAATTGGTCGACATGAAATATCGGTGTCAAATAAATGGAATATTCTATATGTCGTTTGCCGCGCCGAAATTCGAGATAATAAAATGTTATGGAAGGGAGAATGGTACACCACTCTGCGAGGAGCCGCACGTAATCAACATTGATCAGCCGTGATGCCTAGCCTGGATTTATGATAACGCGAGTTCTCGTTAATCCAATCCATAATTGATGGGATAATCGACGAGGTGCGGTTGTGACAGAATTTGATTGTTAAAAATAAATGGACAATAATTAATTGATATTGTAGAGATATTGTAGACTGTGGCGAATTCAATTACAAATAATAGAGGACTAATTTTCGGGAGAGAAAATCTAACTAAAGATTAGGAATATTGTATACGTATAGAACGCCGATTGATGGACAAATACCGCACAGATGCAGGATAGCCGGATTGCCACAAACGTCGTTAAACACAATTCACCGCAATTCTTTCGCCGTGCGACGGAAGGTCGTCACAGAATTATTTGCAGATTTTGCGGACAGCCAGATTTTGTGGACGGCGGACGAGACAAACTCGTTTAACCGATATCACGGCCTTCGTACTATATATATTCAAGTAGCTAGTTGTGCGGTCGGCTGAATCCGCATCATGAAAATATTATATAGCGTCTGAGCCGCATTTGCATAACGCGCTCGCCTACACGGTAATTTCGAGGATCAACAATTATCGTATCGATCGAGCGATTAGAAAATGCGTCGTGACCTTTTTGTTGCGTGTGTTTGTCACTGTTAAATTCATGACGTCAAATTACACCCAATTTCAGTGGTTTTCAATTATTTCCGCCACTCTTATGTCATTAATTTAACTGAAATAATGGAGTTAACAATCGAATTTAACTCAAAATGTATTACATTTGATTTAAATTTAATTTATTATTTACTAAGTACATACGTTAATATGAATGTTTATTTACTTAAAAAAAAAAACTAAGCAATTCAATCACAGAAACGGATTGATTTATGTTTTGACACATATGGAAGTTAAAAATAACAAAATGTTATTTAACTCAAGGGATTGAGTATCATTGCTTCTTCGATATCTAACAGTGATTTATGTCAGTCGAAGGACGCGTTTCGCTTTAATATCTGACCGTTAAAAAAATCGCTACAATAGAAAATCTCTCTCTTTTTTCATTTGTAATAATAAAAAGATCTATTGGGGGTAATTCTCGATTGTTAAAAAAAAATCGTCGTGCATTATTTGCGCCGAAAGGTACCGTGGAATTTTTGAAATTCCATGGAGATGAAGTTACTCTTAAACGAAATTTCCTCTTCTAATTTCCGTCAAAGGAGTCTCGTTTAGCGGTGTGTTCGTACTTTTCTTCTATTTCTTCTCCGCATCGAGCTAGAGGCAGGTTTTGGTGTGAGCCGTCACGTTCGTCGCGGTGGCAATTTGTCGGGCGACGGAACGTCAGGCCGAGCCACTGAAATTTTTAATTTCTTACGAGACGAGGTAGAGGCAAGGGACTGGTTCATTTGTTCTGAGACAATTATATCGTGAGAATAAGGCGCCAGGCGAGCTACGGCACAAAAGCGAGGACGGAAGGGCCGAGGAATGAAGTGTCGCTAAATGCAGAGCAGTCCGCTCTAGTAGATCTTTTATCGCGAACTTTATTCCAGTGTTGCGGTGTTACGGTTTCTCCCTGGACTAACTCGTAAAGTATGTTTAATCTTAGCATGGTATAGTTAATCTTTATGAGTCCCTTCTCCCAAGTTAGACTCGGTAAAAGTTATCCTCCTATCCTCTTCCCACTTCTCCATAATTTACTCGCTGTAAGTGCAATGTAATCCTGATTTTCTCATCGCGATACAATTAAATTCGTGTATGATTTAATGTATTGTGATAGACGTTCGAAACGCACGTGCAGCAACTTAATTAATTAGCGTGCGTAATCAGGAGCTACTTACGAAACGACGAAGTGTTGTGCTCGTTGTTGTGTCGACATTTCCTCGCAGCTGTTTATTTCGTTCCGCGTGTCGCCGGTTATATTCGCCGTGGGAGTGATACGACGCGCAAGCCTTCCGCTTTCGCGATTGTCGGGACCCATTTACATCCCAAATTCCGGATCGCGCGAGTGTCGAAGTGCCGCAACGAACGTGCACCGAGAACCATCGGGTCTCGTGGTGATAATTCGCTTTCGACACCCGTCAGCCTCGTATCAGCCGGCTTGCTTGCCGTCGCTGTTGCGCTGCCTTGACTTTGTTGCTGCTGCAATGCAGTCCGGCTCTCCGTTCTGTATTCAGTAGTAGTGCTATGTAAATGGTCAGACGACGGATTCCCCTTGAGAAATCCAACAAATTTTCTAAGTAATAGACTATATCCGTATTACAAAAATATTTCAAATTCTTCAAGTCTGCGCGATGAATTTTTCACCGATTTTTAGTCAGCCTTTCATCGTGGGAAATTGAGAAAAATTCATTAAATTATTCCGCTTAAAAAAAAAAAGGTAACAAATCTAATTCTAAATTCTAATTTTGAAGAAGAATATAAAAAGCTTTCTTTGTTTTGGGATTGAAAAATTATATAATCCGTTATTATCATTCTTCTCTTTTAATTTTTAGAGGAATGATTTTAATTGTATGATTTTGAAAAATTGAGAGAAGTAAAAAACTGAACGTTATTGAACGTTATTTTTTCGGGACATGAAAATACGGCGGTAAAGTAATGATAATAATAAGTCAAGTTTCGTAAACGTCTATTTTTATCTAGATAAAATATATATCTTTAGATACATGTTCGATTCGTTGTGCAGAAACAGTCGGCTTGAAATCACTCTAGAAATGCGAGGAATGGTATATTCGTGATATTCGTTATGCATTTGTTTCGTAACACGTGAAATATTTCGTAGAAACCACTCGGTGCCCAGCGCTTGTTGTTTTGACGTTGCAGAGCGTTGTGTACGCAAGGTCGCCACGTAACCATTCGTTTGCAGTCTCGTGCGGGCAGGCAGTTACGAGAGTCGTTCTGTATGATTCTGTATGACTGCGTTCAGCAAGAGCATTATCAGAATTATTATACAATATCATTCGATCTTTGTCGTTCATTAGATGTAAAACATGGATAGAATAAACGCAATAGTTCTGATGGTGCTCCTCGAACGCAGCATATGAGATGTTGTTATGTGTGTTGTGTTGTTATTTCTTGCAATCGTTGAACAATTAACGATTCTCGTTATAATAAACTAGCAAATTTTCGACAATTAATAATGTACGTCGAGCGCCAACAATGTCTCGCACAACTTAAAGCAACAAAGTACAATACATGAAAAATGAGAATTAACCTTTATTTAAGTAGGTAGATGATAAGTTACGCAAGTTCATAAATAAGATGCTCGGAAAATACCCCTAAAATTTTTTTAATTTTATAGTTATATTTTTTATCAGTATACTATATTGTAGGTAAATTTGTATTATATATATATATATATATATATATATATATATATGGGAAATACTTGGTATTTTTCTTTACAGAATAAGACTTTAAAGAAAAGTACTCGTATACTTGGCGTGCTGTATAGCCACTTCAACGACTTGCTTAAAAATTAACTTTTTTGTTACAATATGTGCGAGCAATGAACATAACCAACACTTATAACAACACTTGAACGTTTCTCGTATCTCGGACTTTGCAGCTTCCATTAACTTAAACGAAATTTGCCGGTTAATTTTCAGAGTGAGAATTAGGTATGAAATAACATGTGACTCGTTGGATATGATTTCAAACGATTAAAAACCATGTGTGGATGATACATGGGTTCTTTAATTATGTTTTATGTATTTGGGAGATTGCATATACAGTTAACTCGAGAGAGCCGTGTGAAATACCGCGCGATCGTTTTTGGATTCGGATGATTAGCGTGGGCGCGATCGTAATTAACCGTATTTTCATCATAAATTGTGTGAGTGCAACGAACCTGGCAGGAATCTGAGAGGAGGAGGAGGAGGTTTGGGAATAGACATTGGGCAACAGCGGGGTAGTTCATAGTGTGAATATTTCATTATATATTATTTTATTTGGAGAATTAATTATAAAATTATTCGTCACAGAAATCGTTCACAATTATTTCATTATATATGGACAACATTACTCTTTTTAAATTTTAGTTATTTCATTGCTATAATTTTCTTGTATCTATATTTTACAGATCGATGTAGACTACATAGTTACAACTTCCCTGTTACACGTCGTCTCGGTGAGTGATGTATGCCTCATTTTAATGTCAAATATTGGATCCATGAAATTTTTATTAGAGATATATGAAATATATTATAAATAAAATATATTACAACTTTTCATAGATTCATTATATTAAAGTGGATGAACTGAAACAGATTAGTTTTAATATTTAATCCACTGAATACAGTATGTATGTTTATTTATTGTATGAAAATATATACGCACAAAAAATTCGAACTCGTATCCAAGTATTATTATTTGCTAACGTATTTTGATGTAAACACCAGAGAATTGGAATAAAATGTTTGTGCATTATATGTATATGAAATAAAGACAAATAATGTCAATAGAAAATACTACAAATCAAAATAAAGATAAAAAAATACAATAGAAAAATTACAACAAATAACAATAGAATAATGGCTAATAGCTTAGTTACGTTATTTTACTTCTTTTTTTCTCTTTTCAATTATTTTTCTCATATAATTTGAAATCTGTATTTGATTTTTCTAGAATTAAATATTATTAAAACTGATGCAAGAAAGTAATAAAGTTTCTTTTAATTTCTTTGTATAAAATATTTCACATTAAAATATATATATATATCGTAATATTTTCTATTTAATTTATGTAACAAAAAGAATATAATAATTATAATTCTATTTTTATTATACATGAATTTAATATAATCTTTCACAGCTCATCCACTACATATATTTATTTTTATTAATAACTTTCATTAATAAACGCGAAATCGGTTGTATCTCTCACTATTCTGATGCGAATTCTCACTTTACCGAAATTTATTCCTTTCGAAAGAAAACAAATTATCTTGGGATATCAATTTTCAAAACTGTACAACCGTAAATGATACCGCGGATGTTGTGTGAAAAATGAAATTTACGAGGAGATATCCTTTCGTTATCAGTTTTTTAAAGAAGTTTTCCGATATCAAGCGCTTGATCTTAGAGAAGCTCCTTTAGCTAACTCGATATGTTGTCACGTACGAACGTAATTATCGAACAAACTTAAGTCGTTGTATTAACTTGAGCTGTTCAGGACTGGAAACTGCTAATGGGAATGTCATTAACATCGCACTCATCGACCCGTAAATTCGTAAAAACTTTTGCAGACGGTAATACGATCGCGAAAGCAAGCACGATGTAATCCGTTTAAAAGCTCCGACAAAATATATAACACATCGTTCGCATAAAATTGTTAAAATGCTAAAACATCGGTAAAAGCTGCTGGTATCCTTTAATTTAAAAAAAAAAAATGTATCCATCGATAATAATATCCGCGACATTATTTGAACATCGACGATAATGAAGTTCCTAATGCGACGTCGATTCAGGTTTAACTTTCTTACGTTAAACTCGTTGCAACAATGCTTTAGCGCGGTGTAAAAAAAATGCCTCGGCTGCGAGCCGATAGCATAATACTGATAAAATCGCGTGCAGTTTACGTAGGTATTACAGATAATCTCTAGAGTTGCGACAAGAAACCTGCATGGCTGTGTGACGGGGAGCCGTTTATCGTCACGCGTAAAACCGCGATGCATCACGTCGAGCCGACGTATGCATCTCGCATCTGCGCACACTTGTCTTTTTGCTTGGCATCGTATGTCGTGTGAAGTTTCGAGCGTGCGGGTAAACACGAATGAATCATCGCATCGTCGACGGTGTCCAATGGATCGACAGGTCACGGGGGGATGCAGAAGCCCTTTTTCCGCAGCTCTTTCTAGATAGACGTCGCCGTGGTCGAATCGAATTGAAGCGAATTTTCGACGAGTGACTGGAATGCGGAACTGTTTACGAGCTGTCTCGTGACAAAATTTCGTTTCCTTACGAAGGGGAATGTTTAACGAAAGGAGCGTTCGGCGCTTTTATTCGTTTTCAAGCACGACGGTGCGGACGTCGAGCTTGAGAAACGACGACGGCCGATGGGCGACGACGGTCCTCGTCGAGGTCTGAAAGTGGCGGCGCACTTTCTGCGGCACGTACGTGTCTTAAAATAGCGCTTTTGCGCTCCTATGTAAAGAAACTTTAGATTCAACCGTCAATCCTCCAGAAATTCCCGGTTCCTTCGCCGGTATTTGCAGTACGCGCTGGAACGACGCGAGCGCGTTTCGGGTGGGATTTATGGTTACGACAAATTTGACAGGTACTACAGAATTCGCGACATGCCGAACGGAAGTGCCATTAAATCCGGATAACGTAGCCTAACGATAATACGATTAAAATTTCCTTTTACGATTTTAATACAGGGAGAAATATGCGCTGTATGAAAAATGAACTAATCGAATTGACAGGTATTCAATATTACATTAACATATTGTCTATCCAGTGAGTTTTATTAGTGAGTACAGTGAATAGTATTGAATTGTGCGCTCTTTTGTTTTTTTATGTTATTTATGTGATTAAAAAAGTTTTATATTAAATGACATCTCAAGTAGAAACACAGAAAAGTCATAATAATATCATAAGGACATCATCGTGATCTTATAAGTTTATTTAGAATATAAATAACAAATGACATCACATAATGACGTCCTATACTATCATAATGACTTAATTATGACTGTGTCCTTAATTATGACGTGGGATTTATTTTTATAAGTATTATAGGAAATTTTGATATCGCCAGTTGAAAAAATCAAGTCATGGCTACTATAAAGTCAACCACCGTAGGGTTAATTATTTCTTGTTTCATGTTCCTTGATAAGCAGCTCATTTGCCGATCGCTTAGATTTTAACTAGTACACAAAACCCGCTTACGTGCCCCTTAATGTTCCATTCGATTTAGCGTCCGATACTGGTCCCGAAGGGATTGAAGTTAGTAACTTCCGCGCTATACCTACGCCCTTTGCAACATTACACGGGGAACAACGAAACGAAATTGATCGGAGTTTACTACTGTCGTAACCTCCTTACAGCTCCATTGAACGTAGCCCGCCCGGGAGGGTTCTTTCCATCGTAAATATCTGGCGCCGACGTGACGCCCAGAGCAACTCTCCCTAACTCTAAGCAAAGCGTAACGTTTCCGTTTTAGAGCTTAGAGGGTTCTATGGGAATATGCGACCCGGTCGTCGGCTGCCAGACATATCAACGTGCCATACGCCGTTAGGCTAAAATCCCGCGCGTTTCCTACGCGCTGTTTCGGAATAATGACTGTGGCATATGCGATACCAGAATATACATAACGCGTGGAACGTGTACATAGATTTCCACAGTTAAGTGAGATCGCAGCCGACCAACAGTTTCGTACAAGTGCAGAATAATGTAGCGATAAAACGCTTTTGCGGATTCCGCGGGAAACGTATCCGCTTCCCTCGCGATAGCACGGTAACACACTCGGTTCTCGATATATCGGTCGGATTTCAAATTAATTTTAGGAAATAATCTACGCTCGCCGTTGAACTATTCATAACTCGTATTTTAGCCGGCTGCCTTTTACCGCCTAGGCGTTTCGATAGAAATTACAAAAAAAAATCTGGTCAGCCGATTTCAAACGTGAATACGCCGTTTTGAAATTTAAAAATTTTATTGTAACTGAAGAACTTTAAATTTTATTGTAATACTTCATTTCAATCAGCGAAACGGTATAAAAATGTGAAAATTTGAGGGAATCGAATCGAGCACGGTGTGTTTGAAGAAAAAGCACATCGCGCTGTTTGATGTGAGAGAGCGGACCGTGATATATGTATATTTAAAAGACGATCTGACCAGTTTCTCTCTACGATTAAATATTTCTGTGATACAATCCAATTTTTCCCAGGGGCGTGTCCGACACAGCGTCAGTCGGTTCGCCGTTGCATAACGCAGAGCAATTACTTTAAACGGTTTGGCGAGCGGAGCAAAGCGAGAGGAGGAAATAAGAGAGAGGTTGAGAGAGAGAGACAGAGAAGGGATCTCTACGAGGTTGTACGTGCCGGAGAGTACCTACGAACTATTAGGCAGCACCTACGCTCGCGATTTAGTTCACCTCGAATAAATTCCGGACGATACAGCAACAGAACAGTTGCCCGGAGCCTCTAAGCGTGTCCTCCGTTTACACGATAAAATCTGAAACGGCGAAAAAAGTTACGCGCTAGCCGCTCCAGTTCCGCTTCGTTCAGCAACTATTACTTTCTCAGATCCCGCCTGAAACCGGTTAACGGCTTATCGTCCTCCTTTTGGACACCGGTCGTTGGTTCTTTGCACGAATTCTGGTTAATCGTGCCGCGTAATTCCAGGCGTTGAGGAAGGATCCCGGATTATATCGCGCGATTCGAGCAGCCTGGCGAATAAGATCTCGTGGAACACATAGAATGCACGAGAAATGCGAATGCACGTGCCCCTTAAGTAGTTGCGAATATCAATAGGGAGTGTCTGAGAATACATCACAACGGTATTGTGTCACAATAGCCCGGGATTCACGTTGGGATATGGCGAATCCATCGGAGGTATTCGGACTTCCTCGAGCGTGAGGTCCAATACAATACATTGATATCCGTGAGTGATCCGACATGGTCGGCAAGTTCTCGCGGAATTAAACGTTGTTTCCAGTAAGTATACATATAATGCGCGTCCGGTAAATTGAATGCTCAAACAAGGAGAAAGAAAAATATGCTGTATTTATACATGGAAAAAACTATTTTGTTCTTTATAAATTTATAAATTTAGTTGGATGCATATCTGAAGATAAATTTAGTTGGACCATCAAAATAATTATGTAGAATACTCAAGTTGATTGCTAGAATGTCAAAAAACTTTTCGCAGTATTATTCATCGTGCCCGAGCTTTTTGCATAATTATTTTGATAGTCCAATCAAATTATTTCCCAATCTGTATCTATCTAAATTTTTTTATAATATTTTATAATATTTTAAAATCGTTCTTTGCGTGTTGTAGCTATACAAGATTGTCAATTTGAAATTTTATTTAACATTGCAAAATAAAAACTAATGACAGTTTGCATCCAAATTTCACAGCGCCATTAATACTTATCCGATAACACATCGCGTTAACGTTTCAA